TTTTTCCTCACCTCCCTCACCCTTGTCATTTCGTTCTGTAGCATCTCATTCTCTTCCTTCATCCTCTGCTTTACTTGTAAGACCTTGTAATCGTGCTCGGTGTTGTGATATTCAAGAAGGTAAAGATGATGGTTGTGAGTTGGCATCCTTGCCGTGTTGCTGTCGTTGTGGTAGTAGTGGTCATAACTACTATACACTTTTTTTCTTCTGTCTGGCATTTCGGGCGTTCCGCTCCTGTAGTTGGCACTTTTGTTTGAATGGACGGTTTGTCTTCTGTTGATGTCCTTGCGGACGTTTTCGTAGATGTCAGTTTTGTTGAGTTCCGTTTTCTGTTCCTTGATGTTCATTTTTATATATAATACTTTACAAAATTTTTGATGCTAAAGATTTCAATTTCTCTCTCGTCGCTTTGTTCTTTTCCTCTTTGGCTTTGTTGTAGGTGTCTCTGGCGGTCATTGCACTCTGTAGTTCTTCCTTCAGTTGCTTTACAAGATCGTTTTTGAATGCTTCTGGGTCAAAAGGTGGTTTCGCCCTTGACGGTCTTACCCTTTTGGGCTTTGGGACTACCGTTGCTTGTTGCGGTTTCTCTTGAACTGGTGTTTCAATTATTTCTTCTGGTTTCTCCTCTTCCTTCGGTGCTTCTTCCTGTATTGGTTCTGGTATTGTTTCTTCCTTTGGTTCTTCATTATCAATCTCTTTTACGACTACCTCTGTCATATATTAATATTATAGATATTTTTTTATACTTTCAAAATCTCGTGCCTCAAATACGGTTTGTTCAATCCTTCCAGTTTGAAGGTTCTGTTTCCGACATCATCGTATTCTATCTTGACGATTTTGTAGGATTGATTGCTCCATTTTGAGTTATACTCCTTCCTCTCGGTGTAGTTGTCTTTTTTCTTCTCAAAGACCTTGACCATATCATTCACTTTGACCTCTGGATATTTGCGAGTGTTCTTTTCCCTCCTTGTCAAATTCACCCTGACGTCCATATGGTTCTTGTCGTCGTGGGCATCCTTGGGTTTCATTTTTGTAGATGAATGGACGGTGTCGTTGTATTTATCCAACGCTTTGGACAACATCAGTCCAACTACCACGATTAAACCTCACCCTGTCGTGTATCATATTCTTCATTGTCCTTATGAAACGCTCCACAACATTGGCGTGAGTTAGGGTGACAACGTGAATGATGCCTTCTTTCTCAAAGAACTCTTTTACCCCTGCTTGGAAGGCACGGTCATTATCACTATAAAAGGACATTGGAAAACCCATTTTGTTGAAACTCTCTTTCATCGCCGACAATGTGATTGGTCCGGATTTTTCTTTCATAGGGACGACGTTTGCCAACTTGCTGAAGATGTCAATGACCACCAACCCATATCTCGGTTCGTCGTTCTTGATGGGAATTTTCGTCTCTGGTTCTTTGGTAAGGGGTTTCAAATCCATTATGTCAATCTGATATTCAAACCTTGCGAAGGGTGCGGTGTAGGAGTTTGACCCCCTGTATTTTCTAATCTGTTTGTTGGGCTGTTTCCTCATAAAGTTTTCCACATCCACCCTGTTGATGGTCTGGTCTTGCTCCTTGGCTTTCTTAAGGGTCTCATTGATTGAACCGAAGCCCGTTTCAAGATTATAATAGACATTGCTTATGATGTCATCTCTTGATAGTCTCCTTGCCATATATTATAATATTAGATTTTTAAAATTATCAACAATAAAAAATATACTTAAAAAAAAAATGCCTATATATAGTAAGACTAAATAAGATGACTAAATTTGACTGTGGATGTCGTATAATGACAGATGTTATAACCCTGAACGATAGAAACCAACCTAATTGGAACTACTTGCTCCAAACCTTCGTGAATGTTTGTGGCAAGTGCTACAAGAAGCAAATGAAATTCCAATATATGGAAAACAAACTTATGGAGATGGAAAAGCAACGAATGGAAATGTTTTTGGAAAATGAGGATGAAGAGGAAGACACATACTTTGACCTGACAGAGTTGAAGGAACATCTCAAAACCCTCCCACCCAATGAAAGACATAAAGTGAAGGATTTTGAGAGGACCTGACAGAGTTGAAGGAACATCTCAAAACCCTCCCACCCAATGAAAGACACAAAGTGAAGGATTTTGAGAGGTTAAGAAACCTCGCCAATGGACAAGACCCCAACGAAGGAATGAGTGAAATAGATATGGTCATAAGAGAACCGGAAGAGGAGGAAAGGGAAAATAAAAACCAACCCGAACCCGAAAACTGAACGAGCCCCCCAAAAACTACTTAAAGAAAAATTACCTATATATAGTAAGAGGATGCTATTTACCTATAAAAACTGTGGATGTTGTAAAAAAGAAATGACTGACATTAAGGTTTTATTGAACAACATTTTTCCTGCTGGAATTTGTGATGAGATATGTGATTACAACCTTCACTGTTCAAAATGTAAAGAGTTGAATGATAAGGAACGCAGATATATAACATTCAACTATCATTTCGACCATTTTGAAGAGAAAGAACTAACAAGAGTTGAAAAACAAATACATTTCTTTAAAACAAGGATGGAAAAATCACCTATCTATTTATCCAACACCGACCGAACAAATTTAAGAGTAATGAAGAGAGAAATAGATGCTTTATTGGACACCTATAAACTGAAGGTAGAATTTCAAAAGGATAAGATATATCTTCAAGCGATTAAGTCTTATGTCAAAAACCATTGGAAATACACTTATCATATTCTAAAGAACTTTCACGACCTTAATTTCATCAGTTACAGTAAGCAACGAAGATGCTGGTGGTTTCCTAATGTTGAACGAACTTTTATGTTTAGAAACAGGGAGTTCAAGATAAAAGACATTTTGGAAATTTTCTTGCGTGAATATGTTGAAGAACTGTTCAACGGTTATGAGAAATATTTGAACATAGAAGAAATAAAAGAGCACCTACAAAAAGTGATAAATACTTAAAGAAAAAAATATCTATATATAGTAAGAGAAAATGAGTAGAGCAAAAATTGAGGTTATAGATACAGGGAATATTGGTATATATGCTGACTTTGGTAGTGATAGTGAGGACGATGATTGGGAAAGAAAACAAATAGAAAAAGAAGATGAAGAGATTAGAGACTTTGTAAAGTGCCATCCTATGCCTTCACCAGATGATGAGGAAGGAGAAAAGTTTTGGAAGAAAGTAATTGATAGGATGAAAGAAGCAGAAGGAGTAAATGGAATGATAATATATTCATTCGTAAGATTTGATATAATGAAAAAGATGTATGAAAACCTCACTGATAAAAAAGTCATCATTGATTGTGGAAAGGAACTCAACCGAGATGGAGAATTCAACGCTATGATTATCAACCTAACGCTTTTATCAATAGCAAAGGTTGAACTAAATGATACAAACAAACCTTGCTTAACACAAATGAGAGTGATTGAACACTGGTGGGATGGAATAGGAAAGTGGAAAGCATAAATGATTAATTCATAATATCTTAACAACACATATTATGAAGTAATCACCCACCCAAACACAAACAAAAACCCCAACAGCCTAAACAAATCCTACCCCCCTTCAATCCAAACATTGACACATCACTTTAGCAACAAAATTACCCTCAAAACCCCACCTGAAAAAACATCAAAGGCGAAGATGAAACATTGAACCCCAACACAAAATCATAACAAGCAACATACAAACATATACGCCCTGAAACCACCATTTTTCCATTTTTTTCCCAATCATCCGTAGGAAACCCAAACTGCCTTCTTTTCTCTGGGGGTTTGGTTCGCCAAGATCCATTTGGGTCTGGATCAGCAGCATCTGTAGCCATCGCATTTATTGGATTCCCAATGGGCACGTCACTCCACATGGTTTCATCATCGTTTTCCCATTGTATACTAACTATTCCAAGTCTTATGACTTATGATATCATATCCCCATTTTCAGATCACACACACACATATATATATATATAGATATATACATAATAATAATTATAATAATAATTATAATTAATAATAATAATAGTAATATATATGTGTGTGTACATATAGATAGACAATGATAGAACATGTGAACCCCCTTCATGGCTCCAGCGGCAGGTCTTGGAGGAAGCTGTTGCGCATTTGGGGCCCTTTGACGGAGTCCTGGGCTTCTCTGAGGGTGGCCTGGCGGCGCAGCTGGCGTGCGACCTGGCTGAGGTCCATTCGGTGATTGTTTGGGCGCCTCGTGAGCCCCAAAATACCTTCTGGTAGCCTCTGGTAAACTAACATAGCTATTGAAAATGGCCCATTTATAGTGGATTTACCCATTAACAATGGTGATTTTCCATAGCGAACTGTTAGTTTACAAGAGGGTAAGGTTGATTTAAAGGTAATTATTTTAATGGTGGGAATGGGAATGAAACCACCAAAAATTGCTCATTTCTGATTGTGAATTATGATGAATGCTGGATATAGTAAGTTGCCTAGATGTTTAATACATTGCCGCATTTGTATATGCATGGAAATGGAGAGGTAGCGGTGTGGTGAGGGAAGGATTTGGTTTCGCATGATGATAGCGCGAGGTTCCGAAGTTCTGCGTCCTTGAAATTGAGAAACTGGGTTGTTTCAGCAAGCGGCGAACCATGTTAACACAGTAGCTTCATGTAGCTTCATGTAGCTTCATTATTTTTCGGGAAATGGCCTGTCAGCTGATAAATCGACCAGAAAAGCGTGCTATGAACAAAGGATCGGTACCACACAGATGCAAGAAATCCCAGGACACAATTTTCATGCTCACCCTGATCTTGTTTCTCTCTGGCGGCTATTTTTGATGTTCCAACCTGCAGCCATGAGGCTGGCCATTTTTTCCTGTCACCCTGGGGCCTTTTGTGGTGCCTTGAAGCCCCTGCTGTTTCTTTCTCAGACGGCCACTATGGCATGGTACTTCTGAAACTACCCTTTGGTAAATTAACATAGACCCTCCTGAAAATCACCTATTTTTAGTGGAAACTAGTCTTCCAACCCCTATCTGGCAGGGTCTATGTTGATTTACTGGAGGGTATCTCTTTAAGTTGGAAAAACATGGAAAAACGCCTATGAATGTGGTAAACCAGTAAGAAATCATCGCAGCAACATGCAGTGAAACTTTTGGGTGTCATCCCAGTGGGTTTACTTCACCAGCTGGCAGGAAGATGCGCCGTGACTTGGAACATGACAGATGGATACAGATGGTGATGGGTAAATGCGTGAAATGGGGGACAAATTTAGAAGTTGATTTTTAAGAATAGGCATCCAAAATCATCCAAAAAAATATCCAAATCGTTTGACACCTCTGAATATTCACAATTTGACTCCAAAGGCGTTCAAGTCTGAAGTCTTTTATCCCAGACACTGCCAAGTTGATTCCGCAATACTACTGCAAAGTCATCGGGCCTCATCAAGGGCTTGATGCAGATGCGAAACTCCCAGGTTTGGTTTCAAAGCAAATTTCATAAGAAACCCCCATAGATGGAGGGTGAAACCAGGCTTTTCCGCGGATTTATCCTCAACGCATCTCAACGCAATCTCTTGATATTCTCTTGATAAAGGGGTTGGTATTGAGATTGTCCTGTGGGTTTACCATTGAGTCAAGCCCATCAAGATCAACCTGAGCGTCATTGGAGGATTGCACAGGCATGTGGATGAAAAAGGCCGGAGAAAACACCAAGATCCATTCGCGACCGAAGCAAAAGAGGACATGACATGGTGGACACGCTTTATCATTCTTTGGTCTAGGGTGTTTCAATTTTATTGGTTTTCATTTCTTTTTCATCCCTATTGAAGACCCTATTTGCGATGATGGTCCTCAATCACCCAACAAAAGTTCGGTTGAAGCCACCGGCCGAGTCCCTAGGTCCTTCGCGTCGCTGCGTTTCTGCATTCTAGTGGCTTCACCACCACTAGGGATGCGTCCAAGCAGGATCAGGTCCCTCCATTTTGCATCCTCCAAGGAGCGGCTGCTGACCCGAGGGGCCATAGAACTGCTCGTGATGGCGTTGAGCCAATTCTGACTGGTGATGTATGGTGATATCCTCTGGTTATGATGACTAACATAGCCATGGTTTTTCAATGGCCCATAGAAATAGATGGTTTACCTATTAATTAAAAATTGTGATTTTCCATGGCTATGTTAAATAACCAGATGGTATCAATTTTGCATAGAGCTCATCCATTCTCAGCCTGCACGTGGCCTGCACGTTGTTCGCACTAGATGGGCGAAGAAATGGGAATTTATGAGGTTACCCCTAGCGTCGACCAGCTATCCAGACAATATCAGACATTGCAACAACCGTTTTAGAACCTAGTTGTGCATGCACTACCCCCAGCTATATGGAAAACCGCCATTTTTTAAATTGGTAATTCACCATAAATCATCTGTAAATGGACCATTTTGCATATGTTCAATAACCAGCGGGTAATCAATAAACAATGGGTGATTTCACGTATATATATATATATTTTTTTTTTTTCCGTTTATTTCTTTATTTTATCTATCTATATAACACATTTACAAGCCACTTATACTTGGACCAGCCTCACTTATGTGACGCTCACAGGACACCGTGGTCTCCATCGAGGACAGCAAGCGCTGCGCGTCCCAGTTCTCGGATGCCGATTGGGTGGAGCCGTGGCGGGCTTGGAGGATGTTGGAGGTGTTTTCTGGTGATTTAATGGTGGTTTAACGGTGATTTAATGGGATTTAATAGTGGTTTAATATGGTTTAATGGTGATTTAATGGGAATTAATGGGATAGGATATATGATGGTATACCCTCTGGTTATGACTAACATGGCCAATACATAGCCATGGTGTAGATGGCCCATAGAAATAGATGGTTTACCTGTTCAAAATGGTGATTTTCCATGGCTATGTTAAATATAACCAGATGGTATATGCATTTATAGCTGGAAGGAGCACCCATGGAATGCAGATTTACGTCATTTTGACGGTCATGACTTCCCCGTATCATTCCATCATATTCCATCCCGCGTCAACTTTGGTACAGTCGATGAACAGAGTGAAACTAGGAAGATAAGATACAAGGATATGATTCTAATATGATGCCATGAACATATGTGAGAGTATCACAGCACTATGATCACAACATTTTGAATATGATGAGAACATACACAACCCTAAATCCCTAAATCCCAGCTACCTCACTGGGGCCACCTGCAAGAGGTTGGCTTCTGGCAATCTAACAGTTTGCCATAGCCATGGCCATGGACATCAATGGACATCTACAAATTACACATGTTCGCTGTATCATAGAATTGGATGATGGGAAAATTTACAGGAAAGCCCTATATTTGATGGTAAAAACCATGGTTTCCTGTAAGTTTTCCCTTAAACCAATCCAGTGACTGTAGGAGCATGAAGGTGGCCATGGGGTCCCACATCGTTCGGAAGACGTGCGACTTCTGGCCACCTTCTTGGAGAAGTGTCGGGATGACTGGCTGCCCCTGCAACAAGCATCGGCGGAAGACATCGATGCCCGGACCGGGGAATGGTGATGGAGCTTTAAAGAGGCACCTGGACAAGGCCAAAAAAGGATAAACGGATATAATCAAGGCTTGGCTTAGAGGAAAGTCACAGTTAATGGATGTTAATGGTTGAAGCTGACGAAACGGAGGAAATCTGAACATCCACCAGAACGGGCCAGAGAGGGAAAACCTACTGAAGTGTTGCAAAACTTTGAGTGTTACCCCCCCCACCTGTTTGCAACTGTTGGTGCATGCGAGGCAATTTGTTTGAGGCAAACAATATGGATCAGACAAAACAGATCAAGTCAGAAATTAGATCGAAATTGGAATTGAAATGGATCTATTTATGAATCAAAAAAATGATATACATCAGATCAAATACGATCAACATTTCGCTTCACAGCACATCATTTGGGAAATCTCAGAGAACGTCCAACAGCTTCCACAGATTTTCCTACTTTCATATTGGGGCATGAACCATCGTGAACCTGAGCAAATGTTGACAATATTTGCGAGAGATTCGCACATTTAGTACATACACTTACCAAATGGGAGAGATGCACATGGAATTTACAACATGTGACATGAAGAAGGTTGAAGAAGGGTCTTGGAGATGTTTGGTAGGTTTGCCGTTGCATCATTGGAGCGCACACATCTTGCACCCCAAGGAGCAGGAGACGCGAATCAATCAAGAGCAGAAGGACGAGGTTGAAACCCTCTCTGCCATGTTTGCAGAGGACCTTGGTGTGGTGTTTGGTCACCACAGATCATTCCCCAAAAATGCCATGTAATAGATGGACCCTGTCAAAGTCTTTCAAGATTCTTCCGCTGATTCAAGGAGCCACGTAGAGTTGGGTCCTTTACCACATTTATACCACTATAAGTCCATCAGTGCCCAGACCTATGGAGTCACTTTTGGGTGTATACTACCCGTCTATGCCAATATAATATATGTATACATATAATCACCAGTTATATTAACAATACCTGTATGCCAATAGAGTTATATAGGTTGATATTCACCAGATCACCACCTTTTTGGGCATGCCATCCATTGCCATCCCATACGACCTGGGGCCCCATACGGCCCATCCCCATGAGGAGTTGACTATCTTCCAACCCACCTACCCTGTGCGGCTGGCCATCAAACTGGATGTGCCGGGTTCCGATGCGGCTTCCGTGGCGGAAGCCGCCGCGTTGCGCTTCGTCTTTCCGCCCCTGCGCCTGGGATCGCCTGGGAATCACGGTTCGTGGGAAAGTGGACCAAGCCATGTCACAAAGCCATAGAATGAGTACGAGTGGTAGGTCAGGAATTAGGATTGTATAAATTACATGTTATTGATCATATCCTATGCAAGTATAGTTGGGGCTTCGACCCTGAGTGCGTTGGTGCAAGTGGGGTTGGTGCAAGTGGGCTGATAGTTTCCTCAATGACGCCAAAGTCCAGAAAAAATATGTGGACGTAGCATCTCATGCGACTGTTTGTTCCAGTGATCTCCCGTCGTTGGAAGGATTGCCATTTTCTTCCTGCAACGTGACCCTAGACTACACTGAGGTATCCGCAGGCGCCTTGTGTGTGTGATTTGGACACTGAATCCCGGCAGAATATGCGCAGTGCCAGGTGGCCTGGTGGCCGGTCATTTTGGAAGCGCCCGCTTCTGCAAATGATTGTGACATGCTGGGTCTGTCCAAAAATGAAATGCCGCAAAAAATCCCCTGGCTCGTTAATTGTCATCATTTTGAATCTTTCACTATTTTCACTGTTTAAACATTGCAAGCTGGGGTATGCCCTGCTTCTGGACAAAGCCACGTGAGGAAAGTCTGGCACTGCAAGTTCATCGCCGGGAGTTAATGGAGGCCGTCGAGGCCGCGCGTGAGCCTTTGGGCTTTCCTAGCGTCACGGCCATGGTGCAGGACCGGCAGTTGAGCAGTGTTCAAAACCCATGCTTGATGATTAACATTTCGTCCTGATTAGTGTAAGCCACCCCCAAACAATAGCTATACCTTCCAAACAATGCATGGGTTCAGAATAATTTGGATGTTTTTTTTGGCACAATAGCGAACCTAGCCACTAATCAGGATACATCAGGATACAACATAGGGGGAATCCCCGTGGTAATTTTAACAGTTTGCTAACTGGAAAATGAATGAACTAATGACCATTACAATAGGTAAATCATCGAACTAAATGGGCCTTTGCCCATAGGTTCCATAGCTAAGTCAAATTGGGTATTAGTTATCACTCAGTTGTAATGTGGAATCGGGAACTGACTCACCAGGGTTCTTAACAACTTTATTACCAAGTATGATCCTCCAAGTAGCCCTTTTGATGACAACAGTGTAGGAATGTCCGTGCAATCAAGGGCTTTGTTCTTGGCTGAGTCCTTTGCAGAGCGTGCATGCTTAACTTTCATATGTGCAGTTCGCTACCCTGGCCTAGTAACAGGCTACATGTCCAAGAGCGAGGTATGGTGACGATGCAACCCAGGATTTTGCAGAGTTGACATGTTAATGACAGCTAGCAGACGACTTGTTCTTAAGTAGGTGGATATTGATGTGGGTATGGATCAATACCTATTAATACCATTATTAGTGGAATGAACATCCATTTACCAGCTATTTTGGGGTTCACCAGGGGTACAAGGTTTTGACACACTGCCATATGTTTTCAATGTGTTAATCCGGACCATCTTGGTACAGTTGAGACGCAGGAGGCGCAGCAGTGGATTGAAGAACACCAGGGCCAACTGAAAGCTGGTGAGGCAGGTGATAGTGCTCAAGGCGGCCCTTCTGAGGACCCATGGAGTTGAGGTCAAGACTTTGATAGTTTGAGCAACAACCAGTTGTCCAAAGAAGACCCGTTTTTCATATATCTTTGGTTGTCCAATGGCAATTTCAGTGATAGTGAATGCCTATGACCTGCCATCGAAGGATGAGGATGCGGACGAGGGCGCTTGGTGGCTTGTAGAGGAGGCGGAGGTAGATGAAAAGTTGCTGCTGGCAGCCGAAAAGATACCTGGCTGCAGCACCTTGACCAGTTCACTGTTCGCTACTCAGGGGAGATGGAGCTATTCAGCTTCCATGTGAGAATATACTTGGCTGTTGCTTTGGGACGCAATCTGTTCTGTACATTTGGGTTGATGCCAGGTGATTTTTGGATGGGGATGAGTTGAAACATGTAACCAGCGGCCAGATATTCACCAAATTGTGCCATATTGCTGTCCTTTGCTGCCGAAAAAAATGCTTAGTACCTGATTACCATCTGGTAATTTAACGTAGCTATTGAAAATGGCCATTTATAGTGGATTTTCCCATTCAAAATGGTGATTTTCCATAGTTATGTAAACGTTTACCAGGCCGGGTAGCCCAAAGCTCGGTGGGTCGCTGGGTCGCATCAGTCGGTTGTAGTGCTCGGATCCGGCCAGGAAGGCATCAGAGCTTCTACCAGACAAGGCAGAGAAGAGCGCATGGGCCCGGCAGTGTGGTGCCGGCAGTAGCTTGGATCAGTTATGGCAACTATGACTACTGCCTGTCATGGCACGTCAGCCGCAAAACATGTGCAATATGCACGTCGTGGGCGGATCATTTCGAGCGAACAGGAGGTTTTTTTCGCAAATTTCCCTCCAAAAACATTTCGATAAACCTCATTAATTCAACAGTATTGCACAAACTGAGCACATCTGAAACATGTTTATCCAATCTCCAAGTTTATCCCAGTTTTTTTTGCCTGTTGAATTTCTTATTTCTTCTTGGTGTCACCAATGAACGACACCGCCGTGGTCGTCTCAGGCTATGGCAAGCCTTGGACCTTCACCGTTGGTTTGGTAGGGAAGCCCTCAGCAGGTGCCCTCAGCTTTGGAGGTTTCAATGATTTTCCATGGGAAAATCCTCCAGATCTCGAAGTAAATGGGGGCATTCTATAAATTAAACATCGACCTCTTGGATGACCATGATGACCCGGAGGATATTGATTGGTGGGGATTGAAGTTACATGTGTGATTTGCCGGGATCTCCAGGCAAGTCGACCCTCTTCAACGCCGGCACTCGCAGTGAGAAGGAAGCAGCCATGGCACCACATCCCTTCACCACCATCGATCCCAATGTGGAGCCTGGCTGGTTTGCAGCACCCTGTCCATCAGTGGCACTAAAGTGTCAGGACGCCAGATCACGCTCTGCGCTTCATTGCAATCATATGCAATCATGCAATGTGGTGCCCCCTAGATAGCTAAGTTGGTTTATAACTTCTATAACTAGGGTCTATGATACTTAGAACATCTTATAACTATAGTTAATGGATGTTAACTTATATATAACTATAGTATACTATAGTTAATGGGGTTTATAAACCAACTTATACCTGGGGGGCTCTATACATTGTGGGGACCAACTCGCCGTTCTCCCATCCGTCGGCAGGACGAGTGCGAGCCCGAACACGGACGAGCAGATCATGGGCGGCGGCGCTTCCCACTGCTGGTGAAAGATGTGGCAGGGCTGGTGCCAGGCTGGGACTGCGAAGTTCTGGACGCTCCGAATCCATTTCCTTTATGAATTTTATGAGGTTGATACAGATTTTCATTTAGGAATGTTTTTGATCTCTTCAAGATGTTTTCAAGATTTGCTTCATTTGGCCTCCCAAATTTTGGATGATTTAGGGACATACAGTAGCCAGATGTAGCCAGATACGACACCGCGCCCATGGCCGACCATCATTTACTTGGAGACTGCTGGTTGGTAGATCTATAGCAGTTGTGAAGTGGTCACGTAAGTTGGGTTCTCCCACACATAACAGGCTTGTATCTCGGTATATCTTGCAGTTTCGCGAACGAACCAGTCGCCTTTTCAGCAACGTTTGCTTCCACCACATCCACCTTTTGCATCCTGTGTTGGATGAAGCCCCGTTTTGGAGCTTTTAGCTTATGAACACATTATCAGGTGGATGCCAGTGGGGCTATCCTCCAGGCCAACGATCATAAGCCCATACTCGATCCTACCAGTTGCATACTCTACCTGGTGTCTACGGTCTACTTGGTGGACGGGTGATTTCATCTGCCAGTTGTGTATAAGGATCTAAAATATGCCCTCAACCAGGGTCCCTGTATCTACCGACCCATCAGCTGCGATCCATAGTCCATTCGAGCTGCTACGGCTGCTACGGGTGCTCCATTTAGGGCCTGATTATGTCAGGGAACCTCCACAAAACTATGGCCAAACTCCATATCTATACGTACAACCTCCTGGTATTTAATCATATTTATATAATTAATCTATTTTCCACAGTGATATCATGTTATATCATGTTATATCCCCATTCCCGGTGTCCATTTTCCAAAAATCGGCTGGGGCCCTGCTTTTTCCGAAGGCGCTTATTTGGGCCGCGGCCGGGGCAACGCCTTCCTTAACGACCTGGTCGATGCTGATAGCCTGGTGCATGTAGTGGACGCCAGTGGCCGCAGCGATGCAGAGGGGGTGGACCATGGAGCCTCCAAGGTGCTTATGGCGATGTGAAGCAACATCCTGGGAATCATGGGGTCCTAGGTTTGGGGATGGATCGGATGGAGATCGGATGGAGATTGGTCATTTTTGTTAGGTTCATGGGAATCTGATGGGCTAATGTCTTGGTTTTTCGCCAGATCAATGGAGGAATCTTTGATCCCAATCTGGCATTTGGTCGTTGCTAAGCTGTTGGCATTGCATGGCCAAGAGCTCCAATGTGAGGAGCCCAGAGTCATGGGCAGATTGCCATTCTGCTTTCGTGTTGATTTCAGCTTGGAAGTCTCAATCAACATGTAACATGCCCTATGATCATAGCTCCAAGGTACAAGCAAGAGTTTAAGACACCGTGTTACACTTTTGTGAAAAGGAAAAGCGGGAAAAGTCAGCTCATCAGCCAATCTTCTGACCAGGGAAGCGGGAAAGCCTCTGACCCGCTGGAAGAAATTGGATGGGTCCGGCGAGAGATTCACATGTGGATCTTCAGTATCTTGACTCCTGAGATTCAGGGATCACGCCTGAAGTGTTGTGGTCACACTTGCGCCATATTCAGAATATTCCTTCCAAACATCTGCTGAAACCGAATGTATGGCTTTGCCATTTTGAAAGACCCGTGGCCCGTTTTCCGTTCAAACCCAAACTCCAATGTGAGGACCTCTCTGCTCAGGCAGACATTGGTATCAGTGTTTCGGATCTTTAGGATGTCCATGTTGGTGTCGAAATTCAGTGCCAAACTCCACATGAAAAGCCTTTTGTTCGAAGGGGAGCCCCACAATCTTCATAATCCGCATCAATTATCACACATCTTGGACGTTCTTGGACCCTAATGTCAACCCCGGATTAATAAACCATAGTTTATTGAGTTTATTGATTAGGTTGGTACTTCCCCAATAGTCATTATCTGATACTTAAATGATACCCCCCAATTCAACAGCCGTTTGGGGTTTATTAATTCAGGGTTGACATTACATGACTCATATCCCTACATGTACTGAGTAAATCTGAGTAATGAGTCTCCAATTTTCTGGTCCATGATGGCCCACCCAAGGCAACGTGCGCGCCAAGTGGGATACGGTGCGCCGCAAGGCGAAGCTGGCGCGGCAGAGCGTGTCCCTGCAGACCTTGGCGGCGGAGCGACTCTTCGCGCTCTTCACAGGCAACAGGGAGGGATTTTTCACAGAAATTCCCAATGGGTTTCATTCTACCCTCTGGTAAACTAACATAGCTAATTATTGAAAATGGCCAGTTATAGTGGATTTTCCCATTCAAAATGGTGATTTTCCATAGTTATGTTAGTTTACCAGAGGGTATTCGGATTTTATATAGAAAATGAGATGCATCCCAATCAAATTCATTTTCTATTCTCGGATTTTATATAGAAAATGACTGAAAATCATGATGCATAATAGTTCCACTAAAGTACCTTTGACAAAAATCTGTATAGGATTCATCATATTGGATTGTTGAGTTTTTTTTTTTAATAATAGGCTGTATATAGAAAATGGGATACCCTCTGGCAATCAAACACGGCAATTGGAAATCCGCTATGAATGAAGGTTTTGATGGGAAAATCAACTATAAATTCGAGATTTTCCATTGCCAATTTTAATTGCCGGAGGTCATAATGGGATTCATAATATTGGGAAGCCACCACAACGATAGAAAAGGTCACTATTTGAGTGAGATTTCTAAATCTATGGTTTTTCTCTATATTTGATATTCCCAATGACAAATGACCAACAGAAAATTGATATTGCCCACTTTCAAGTTTTGGGAATATGGAGTAATGACATTGAAAAAATCCCATGTAGATAGAAAAAGTCGCTATGTTAATCCCTTTCCGCTGATGTCAAATGCCCCCAATAAACCATGGATAAGTAGGGGATTTACACATATTTGGGACCATTCAGGCTGTCTTAAATTGGGACTAGTAGGTTTTGTAGATTTAATGATTGCTTTTGGCTATCATGTGATTGGATTTTACAGAAGATTCAACTGAT